TTCTCCTCATGCTTCTCTTCCTCCTCTGATTTCCATAAAGGTCGCAGAGGTCCCTGAGGGAGATCAAGAATCTGTTTGATTGGCTTCCCGCCATTGAATGTTCAGCACCATGTTATAGCCAAGCAGCCGGATGATATGATCAAAATTCAATCTATTGTAGGATGCTTCAATTAATTTATAGATGTTTTTAATATAAACCACAGGATGTAAATGAATGCATAGCTTTCCCTAAGTTTTTGTTGTTTAAGATTTAATAATCCCAACCATATCCATTTAGAGTTTGTGTGGATAAAAATTAGTAAAGGAAAGAGAAGGGAAGAAAATAATCTTCTTTTTTTTTTCGATAGATAAAAAGTAGAGGAGAATGAAGAAAAGTATTTTTATTTAATTAAATGATATTGTTTACACCCATTTTTGTAAAAAATAGAATGGTGCCACATGTCATCCATATTGGCAGTTATTTCATTGGTTAAAAGTTGTTGGTGTAAATCTCTCCAAATAAAGTTCAGTAGTTATTTCCACAACGGCAGCAAAGTCGTTTGCTTGTTGCGAACTTTCAGGAGGATAATCGGCAACACAAATAGATTAATCAATTTGCTATAGATTTTATGCTGCCGCCAGCAAAAACTCCACCATGCTACCAATGTGCTACAAATATCCGATGATTAGATCAAGCAAAAAGACCAGCCTCTCACACAACTAATCCATCGTTATCTACATTTTAGTTTTACAAGCAATGTCTTAGTTTAGATCCAGTTTTCTCAAACAGCTTTCCTAATTTAATTTTTAGCTTTACGCTGCTATTAGTTTTAACTCTAGTTTTTGTTATTTCATTGTGAACATCTTCACTCGATGTATTTAGTGTTCTACAATTCAATTTACTGCACTTTGCCCCAAATTCATCTCTCTAGTTTCTTTTAAGTTTTGCTTTATACTTCATCTTTTATTTCATTCTTTACACTTTCATGCTTTCGCAGCAGCATTACGCTTCCACTCTCACTCTCTTTCTTCTCCTTTCCTTTATTTTTCTCTTTTATTTTGATCAACAAACTAATATTTTGGCCCTAGTTGTGGGAAGTCCTTGATGTTCTTCTAGGGCAATTATTTATGGACCTTTATGTAAGAATATGGCCCCGTTTCTACAACAATCGTCTGATTAGGGCGCATCTCATAATTTAATTAACTGGTGCTCTTCCATCGACTCACAGCTGAGTTCCACGCTTGAAAATAGTGAGGGTCATCAGGAATCCCTCTTTCTCACTTTAAACAAAATGAGTGGCACGTTTTTGCAGTCTTATCTGCCACGCGGTTAAAAAGGGAGATTTTGGAGACAACAGATACAAAGAAAAATAAAATAAGATATTTAAAATTTATTGATTAAAACAATAATTGAAATAAAAAAATTTTATATATTTCTTTTCTAAAAAATTTAAAAATATTAATTATATAATTCAAATCCTTGGCAATTCCTTCAATTTGGAAAGATAAAAAACAGAGGAGCAGAAAAGGTTCTATAACCCCTTCATCTTCCTCCCTCTCTGTTAATGAAAAAAACCAAATAAAATAAAGGTTCAAACCCCATTTTGGTCCTTAAACTATCGTACGAACTCCTGATTTGGTCCCTACACTAAAAAAATCCTTGATTTAGTTCATACTGTTTACCATTTTTACCCTGATTTGGTCCTTTCGTTAAATATCAACCTATGTGTCCTGTTATTTGACGAGAAAAGGATGACATGTAAAAGCATTTTGACACCATGTATAGCATGGCAAAAAAATGAGAAGGCAAAAAAAAAAAAAAAACCTTAAAAAATTTGTTTTTCCTTTTTCCCTTTCCTTGCACCTTCTGCAAACCCTAACTCCTAATATTAAATTCAAGGATAACACAACAAATCAACAGATTAAACTCAATGGATCCTTGACCCAATGGCTGTTGGGTTCGAAACGAAATCCAAAGCCTCACTTGTAGGAACCCAACGGCTGCTCAAACCTAGCAACCGCTGGGTTCCACCGACCCAACAGCTGTTGGGTTTAAAATGAATCCCACCGCCTGCTGGGTTCCAAATCAAACCCAGCACCTGCAAAACCTAGCGGCTGCTTGGTTCAAAATTGAACCCAGCGTCGAACCCAGCACCTGCAACAACCCAGCGACTACCTTGCCTTGCCTTGCCTTCTTCATCTTCATCAATCAATTTTTCATCACAATCAAACAACAAAATCCAAAAACAAAAGCAAAATTTTTTTTTTTAATTTTTTGCACCTAGGTTTGGTGGAACCTAGGCACTGGGTTCGCAAGGAACCCAGATGCGAACCCATTGCCTGGGTGGGTTCGAAGGAACCCAGGCCTACTGGTTTCCAAGGGGAAAGAGAAGGGAAATGGGAAGGGGAAAGAGAAAGGGAAAGGGAAAGGGAAAGGGAAAGGGAAAGGGAAAGGGAAAGAAAATGAAAGAAAAAAAATTTTAAGTTTTATTTTTCATAATATTTTTTATATTATTATTTTTTTCCACATCATCACTTTTTTTGTCATATTTCCTTCCACATGTATTAATATTTGACATGTCATCTTTTAACCGTGAAGTGATAGGCCACGTAGGCTGATATTTAACGAAATGACCAAATCAGGGTAAAAATGGTAAACATTAGGGACTAAATCAAAGATTTTTTTAATTTAAAAACCAAATCGAAAGTTCACACGATAGATCAAAAACCAAAATAAGATTTTAACCTAAAATAAATGAAACATCTACCTTCACTCTCCTCTTCTCTTCTTCCAAATCAACTAATCCAATCAGTTTGATAGGGGGAGATCTTTCAATATTAAAGTATTTCTATTGTTAAAAGATGTAAAATTTGAATTGCACCGTTTCATATTTTAATCAATAATATAGAAATCTATTAAAAATAAATTAAAATCATTTCAAAATTTAGATAAGTAAAACAAAAGAGTAAAAATTAAATTATCTTGATATTTTAAATGCTAAAACATTTTATATTAAATATCTTTTCTACTTTTAGTTAATTTATTAATCATATTTTAATTTTTTTTATTATCATTTTTGTTATTTTAATTGTCAAAATATATTAATTTTACTCAATCTGTTTAAATAATTGTTTTAATATTAAAAAAAAAAACAGAGAAATATAAATTCATAATTCACATTTCTTTTACGATGTCGTTTCTGTTTAAGGACTGGAACAGGATAAGAACTTGTGTTCTATCAGTTCCTGTGGACCTGACGATTCACTGTTAGTTTAGAGATTCCCCCGGAAATGGCTCACGTCTGCTCCAATCTCCATTCTCCGTCTCCGTCACTGCTTCTTCCCCGCCAAAATGGGTTTTCCGGTTGCCGTTTTATACGGTATCTTGATCTTCTTCCACAAATTTCCGCTCAAAGTTTTGTGCTTTTTTCAATTTACTGTTCCAACTGCTGATTTTTTTAGTAGGGTTTGCTGCTCTCTAGTTGATTTCAAGTTAATTTGTTTTAAAGTTTAAATCTTTCATTCTTGTCCCTAAACTTTATTTGGTATGGATAATTTGAACTAAAAACCAGATGCCATTTTCACTTTATAATACCTCTTTGCTTATAATGGAACTTTGCAATTCTAGTATTTTACCCTTGAAATCCTGTCTCAAAGAGTCATCTTTTGTATAATTCTATGTTTGTTGGGCTTTTTATTGAAGAATTTATAGTCTCTACATAATTTATGTTGCTTGTTTATTTCAGCCAAGTGAATTTTAATCTGAATAAGGGAGCCATGAAGATGTCACCAATAGTCACTGGCAGGAAAACGAATTCCAGGGACAGTGATAGTGGGAAAGGAGTGAAAAGTAGGTTTGTGCAAGTAATGGCTAAGCAGGGAGACAAGAAGTTCCAACATGAAGGTTTAATTACCGAGTCACTCCCCAATGGTATGTTCCGGGTTCGCCTTGACAATGAAGATTTGATTCTTGGTTATATTTCTGGAAAGATCCGGAAAAATTTTGTTCGAGTGTTGCCTGGAGATAGAGTTAGAGTTGAGTTAAGTCCGTATGATTCTACCAAGGGCCGCATAGTTTATAGACTTCGTAACAGGGACCCAAGTGGTGAATAAGGTGGATTTTTGTAGTAAATCAGCAAGTTTGTTCAGGATTGACAATTGAGGTAAGGAATAACAATTATCAACTTTGGTGTTCAACTGATTGTAAAAGAAAGTGGGGATTGGACTTCTTTCTAGCAGCAGTACTCCAATGGATTGTTGGATTGATCAATCATGCAGAGTTACAAACTTAATAGAGATGAGAGGAAGAAGACATTAGTGTATCTTGTCAGTCTTTTTGGTCACATGCTATTGGAATCACATGTTCTCTTCTTCGCTGGGAGCCGTGGGGGCGAGACCGGGGAGTTAATCTTGTTCTGTGGCCTCACTTCTGAAGTAAGATATAGAACAGAGTATGTATGATATTGTTATCCACCTTTCATGTTTCTATATATGTGTCTTTGTGTTACTTTAATTGTGAATTTGATAATATGTTTCTCTTTGAATGGGGATTGGTTGCAAAATCTACGTCTTAATGGAAATCTTCAGATGGATATGCTACTAAACCTTAATATCTGCTTGCATTACTTGCTGTGCTAAGATTTCTTCTTCTTCTTTTTCCCTTTTTTTTAAAAACAAAAAAAAAAAGAAATTGCCAAGAACTTTTCTGTAGCCTTTGCTCTCTCTCTAGGCCTAAAAAACTGTGGTTCTAGAATTCAAAGAATGCATTTACATCAGGGATGTCCGTTGATATTACAGACACGCCTAATGCTTGTGTCATGGACCTCACTCTCGTGTGCTTACCCTATCAGCAGATATCAGCATCACATTGTAGTTCAGGGTAGGGATCTTTTTTCTAATTTTTTTCTGATAATGGGTTTCGACTTTAAATTGTATTTGGTTTGAGGGAAGGGGAGGGGAAGACTTTCTGAATAATCAGATTGGAATATTTAAAAACATAATAATTGTATTGATTAAACAATTTTTTTCTCTCTTTTTATCTCTTTATTTCTCTTAATCCAAACATATTATTAGCGTTCATTGAAACATTGAAACGGGTCCTTTTTTGGGATCAAACTACAAATTAAGGTTCAAAATCTTGGGCTTAGGTTATTATAAATTTGAATTTGCCTTTTTTTCTTTGGTTTTTTTTTTTTCTTTTGTGTATGTGGATGATCCACATCTGTTTAATGATAAAATCTAGACTTCAGAGTGCTTATTTATACCCTTCATCTCGAGTATTTTAGAGGTGAATATGTGATATTTATTTATTTATTCATTTATTGTTTCCAAAATGCTTTGTACCATTTCATAGAAAAGCCAAAAACACAAGTTTGGTCTACCAAATTTTGATTGATTTGTCCAAGGACTATAGAGAGAGTCTTAGATATGAAGCAAAATAGCTGTATATATGGATAAGGGGGTCATTGTGTCAGTGTCTTTAGGTAACGTTGATTTATTATTACACCTCCATTCCTTCGAAGCCACGCTTTTAACTATTTTTTAGTTACCGACTCTAACTACTAATAATTATGCACTTTTTGGAAACCCACATGTATCCTATATATAACCCAATCTCAATTCCCTATTTCTTATCCATTGAAATAATTGGAATGGAATCTAAAAGAGTGCAAATTTCAGCAATTTCCCTTCTCTTGCTCTTCTCCATCACCTCTGCCTTACCAGGCACGAAAATCCGATCCCTAAAGCCATGCAAAAGCATGGTTTTTTACTTTCATGACATAATCTACAATGGCAAGAATGCAAAGAATGCAACTTCAGCCATCATAGGTGCACCAGCATGGGGCAACAGAACCATTTTGGCAGGACAGGACCACTTCGGGGACTTGGTCGTGTTTGATGACCCTATTACCCTTGACAACAACCTACATTCCACCGCGGTTGGGCGAGCTCAGGGTCTATATGTTTATGATAAGAAAGAGATTTTCACAGCTTGGCTTGGCTTCTCCTTCGTTTTCAACTCTACGGAGCACAGGGGCAGCATAAATTTTGCTGGGGCTGATCCTCTGATGAACAAGACAAGGGACATTTCTGTGATTGGTGGGACTGGGGATTTTTTTATGGCTAGAGGTGTCGCTACATTGATGACTGATGCCTTTGAAGGTGAAGTGTACTTCCGACTTCGTGTTGATATTAAATTGTATGAGTGTTGGAAGTAAGTATCCATGGCCATATATGTATCCCAAAATAATGGTTCATTTTCTTTGTATTATCAATGAAGAAGCTATGCAACTTTGTTTTTAATAAATAGCTAGGAGGGGATGCATCAAGCATTTGTGCATGCACCATTTTTTTTTTTTTTCTCTTTTTCTTTTGTCCAAATTACCCATCAAAATAAAATTAAAGAATTCAAAACCATGCATCTTTCCCGGTTTAGGATGAAAGGAAGCTATATTTATTATGCTTAAGTCACTCTTTCATCATTTTTTTTGTATCTGTCTGGTGTAATTAGAGTTTTTAATAGAAATTTTGTTAAAAAGAAACTGTTATAGAAGTACTGTTTTTATAAATAAGAAGAAAAATAAAGATAAAATAAAAATAATATGTTAATTTCATTAGAACCCAAATGAGAAACTTCAATAGAAGCACCAATTTGGTGCTTTTGAAATTTGCAATGAAATGAACAAAAAATTAACTTGTGAAAAATTGTAACATTTTTCATAAATTGTAAAGTATAATGTAATTGGAGTTTTTGAAGTCAAAAAGGACTTTACACCAATTGTACTAAACATAGCCTTTGTCTATTGACTCTTTCAACATATTATTGGTTGGGAATCAAACTAACGCATCTCTTCTCCCTGTTTTAGGATGTAATTGCACCTTATCGAATCAAATTGGATATCCAAATTGAAATATGTGTTTTTCTATTAGAAAGAAATTATCACTAAATCGCTATTTAAGTTATTGACAATCCTTTTATACAAGTTAATTACGACTAACTATATATATAAGCCCAATATGTTCTAATTTAAATGTATTTGATATGGCTAAATCAAGTAATTAAGAAATAAGAAATACTAAATCAACCTATGGAGAAATACTAGGCGCAAGTGTATTAACACTCTCCAATGACAAGCCTATTACGTTAAAGTTGTGGCTCTTGTGGAGTCACAAGCTTAAGAAAATAAAAACGAACAAAAAGTGCAGTTAAAAGTTTTTCTCTTTTTGGAAAACATATATCAAAAACCCAAGCCCAAGTATTACAAATGTTGTGATCCAATTCTAAGTATTTATGAGTCCAAGCTGCAATCTTTTTTTTTTTTCTTTTTTTTTAATGTTAAGCCCAAAAGAGATTGTGACTCCACTGTGCCACTTCTCGTTGTGATATGGTAAGCCCAAGATTGCAGAGAAGATAAATGGTGATTTGGTATTGGCGGTATATACCAGATAGCTTATCTATTCAGGGAAACGAGAAAAAAATAGAAAGACAAAAAAGCAGAGGTCCACGTTGAAGAAGGGGATATTCTGCATCAGAGAGAACGAGAGGCATGACGGTGGCGGAGGGCGGTTTGGTTGCCCTTTCCAGGTTGCCTCCACCCCTTAAACCTCCCCATTTGCTTTCGAATTCTCTGTGCAAGAGGCACTCCTCCAAGCAGCTCTCTTCCCGCCACCAAACTCTCATTTTCGCCAGGTACCATGCATTCTTCATTTTCTTGATGAAAATCTGGCTTTGGGAATTAGCTATTAGTAATTACTTTTTGGTGTGAATTTGCTAATGACTATGGTGCTAACTGAAGAATTAGATACTATAAGTGAAGCTATATTTTTTTTTCAATCTGGAAATGGGAAGTTGAGAATGCACTTCAGATTTTTAGTTATGGATTGGAATAACAAAATTTATTATGCAGATGTTCAGGAAAGGGATGTCAAAGCACATATGAAAAGTGGTTTGGGGGTTTTCTGCAAACAGTTGCTGCAACTTGGGATGGCATGGCAAGATTACCAACTTGGAATAGTCTCCAAGACAATTTCAATTTCGTTATTAATTATATACTTTTCCTCGGCATGCTTGATTTTACTTGTTAATCATTTTGTTTTTTGTGTTGTGTGTGTGTGTGTGTGTTGATGTGGCTCTTATATTTTCCCCAGGAGTTAAGTTATGATGCTTGGAAGAACTACGGAGATATTAAAGAATCAATGCACAACATAGATGGATCTTCTTTGATGAATGAGTTGCCCTGGGTGAATAACATTAGAGGGGACGATATTGTAGCTGCCAATGTATCAGTTTCAAATACAATTAAGAATTTCATAAAGTTTATGTTACTTTTTGCGTTGTTCACATTTCAAGGTTCTCTACCTGCGCTTGCTGGTTCGGATGTCGCTAGTGGTTTGCAGTCAATTCCTTACTTAGGAGACTTTGGTGATATTAGCAGAGGTTTTGCTTCAGTGAGGAAAATCTCCTTATAACTTTTACATACTTCTAGTCTTTATCACTGCTTGACTCATCTTGCTCTAGGGGTCATGGTTGAAATGGGAAAAAAAAACTTCTCTCTATTACCTGTTTTAAAAATTAAAACTTCTTTAGGTTTCCATTCCAATGGAAAGAATAAACTTTTTAATAGAACAACTGCATGTCTGCTTTTGTCAATTAGAACAATTTATGCGTTTTTTTTGTTACAGGCATTCTTGCTGATATTTTTCTCAGAACTAGGGGACAAGACCTTTTTCATTGCGGTAAGATACAGGGTCAGCAACATACTAATATGTTGGTAATATGAAAACAGGACATGCTAAGGCTATTTTATAGATCTGGTGAAAATATGCATCTTTTCTGTTTGATCTTCTGACATGCTTAACTTAATTTTATTGTCCCCACATCTAGATAAACTTGAATGCTCAGTCACTAGCACATACGTAGTGTCCATGTCCAACTGAAGAAAGAAAGTATCCCTCACCATGATTTTTATATTTTATATCTTATGCAGGCACTTTTAGCTGCTAGGAATTCTGCTGCTGTAGTATTCATTGGGACTTTTGGTGCACTTGCGTACGTTGCTCTGCTCATTCAGGGTGATTTAGAAGTCCTTGCAATTTACTAATTTATGTGTATGAGATTTTTCATTGGCATGTCTCTCAAAAAATTTTATTTTTTATAACCTCTAAGCTATTTAAGTTAAAAAGTGAGTTCTGTTAAGGTTTTGAAATGTCTATTTTCAGAAGAGGATTCTTCCAAGAGTGAACCTGTATGAAATTTATTTATGCCGCGCCTCCTGGAATTCATGTGAAATAAATTTTTGTCAATAACTAAATGTAATTATGCATCATGTGCAGGGCAATGACTATCATATCTGTTGTCCTTGGACGCACTTTTCATTATGTTGATGAAATCCTTCCCTTCAGGTACTTCCCTTGATATATGAATTCAAAATCTGTGCAAGTAGAACTGTAGAAGTTCATTATCGCAAAAGTATTTAATCAATATAAAGGGAACACTAGAACAGCACTAAATGTAATAGACATTTATATAATTTGGATATACATTCTAATAAGTCATACTTGGGATATTCTAACTCCAACATTGCTCTCTATCAATGACAGCTACAATAGACTATTTCGCAGATCATGTCATTGAAATTTATTTTCTAGTAAGTTAGAGCAGGGTATCTTAACTTTTTTATATGGCTCTAGAAGTTAAAAGCAGATAACTATTGGGACTTTTTGTTCATTGTAATTTCTTTGGTCAAGCAGTTTTTTAATGTGATTTTCACTAATATCCAGGTTTGGCGAGGCTGATTTGCCTATTGATGATATTGCTGCAGTTTGCTTGTTGGTAAATTGCTTCCTACTTTTAGGTTTTGTCTGCTGGCACTAACAGGGGGGAAGTGCACCCTATATGCTTAGCATTATACCATAAGGGACATCAAATTTGGACCCTCTTGCTATCTAAATGAAATAAGCATGAAAGTGAATTAATTCAATGTTTCAGGTTTATTTTGGAGTATCAACATTGCTTGACGCATCTTCAAGCGAGAGCCAAAAGGCAGAAGATGAACAAAAAGAGGTAAAATTTCAGTTTTTGGGGATTCAGGTTCCAACTTCAGTCCTCTTTCTAAGGAATATTTTTCATTTAGATGTGCTCAATTTTTGTGATATTAACTAGGCGGAGCTAGCAGTTTCAGAATTTTCAGGAAATGGAGCTGGGATTTTAGCTGCTGCAAACACTGTCATAAGCACTTTCCTCTTAGTTTTTGTTGCTGAATGGGGTGACAAATCATTCTTTTCCACAATAGGTTAGTGGAAAGGCTGTACATATGTATTTGTCATGCCATAGATTTATTGAGTTTCTATGAAATTAATTTTTTTAACAATAACATTGCCATCCTGGTATCCCCTGCTGAATGCCAGAGATGGTTTTTGCCACCATTTGATGGCTGGAATTATGATATGCTAGTCAAATGGCCTTCATTGAGTTAAAATAAAATTGGTGAAGATCATTTACCTAAGTGTGAATGAGGCTATATTTGTTTTATCTTCTTTCACACTTGAAGTGTGACACCCCTCCATCTTAATCGTTACAATAAATGGTATCATTGGTGGGTAATACACACGTCAAATACGTAAAGAAATCATTGACAAAGTCAATCTTTACATTCTTCTTGCCAAAAGCCATTAAATATCTGTAATGCAGATTACAAGTCCAAATATCTATGTAAAAGAGAAAAGAAAAAAAAAAAAAAAGGAAAAACATAAAACTTACTTAAAATTTGGTTATTCTTTACAATTCAAGAACTTAATTATGGTGTTTCTCTCTTTCTGCACAGCACTTGCTGCAGCCTCCTCACCTCTTGGAGTCATTGGTGGAGCACTAGCTGGTCATGGTGTGGCTACTCTGGTAACGTATACTGAGTCTTTCTTAGTAGCTCCATAGAACAAACCAAGATATTGTCAAAATTGCAAGTTGATTTTGCTCTTCTTTTTTTCTTGAAATTATTAGGCAGTATTTTTATGTCATCATAATTGTCCAAATTTTAAAGTACATTTGGTGCCATTGAAATTTTTTAATTTTCTTACTTGACATAACCCCCAAAAAGTCATTATCATGCAGAATGGTTTGATGGAACGTTGGACAACAAATCTACTTCACATATCATGCCTTTTGGAAATTTATTATTATTTCTTTGTTTTCTTTTCACAATTTCACATGGAAATAACTGGGCATATCTTACTCACAAATTCTCCAGCTTGCTGTATTGGGAGGTTCTTTACTGGGGACATTCCTATCCGAGAAGGTAAAATTTGAAAGCATCTTATTTCTAAGCATAAAAATTGGAACTTCTTTAGAATAATTACTAATAATGGAGTGATATTCCACTGGAGTATCATTGTCAGAACTTTTCAAACTTTATATTATATGAGCATCCTGAAAGCCTAATAATTGAAACAGTATTGCAAATTCTCACATTAAAAGATTTGTTATTGTTCTCGACACACACGGTAGGCATTAATCACCTTATGGATTCGGTCAAAAGATCTTTCTTTGTTTGAATTCATGTAATACATGTAATAAAAAGCCCAGTTTCAGCTAGTTATGACTAAGTAATGTAACAGAAAGATTTATTCCTTCGTACAAATCATATTGTCCAGGAATGTAAAGTAGGCATCATAATGGTATTTATGCCTAGAAAAAGTCTGAATTGGTTGGACCAACATTTACATGCCACCACACGTATGTTATCCCATGGGAAGAACTTAGTTGGAGTATCTAGACAGTGGGGCTACATGTGTTAGTGGAAAATCTTCTTCTTGCCCTTAAATGCAACCGATCACTTTTCCTTTTTTTCCTATAATCCCTTAAGAATTGAAAGAATATTATTACTTGAGTAGGGATCCACTTACACAAAATCTCAACCGTTCATATTTTCACTTTTAATGGTTGAGATTTATCATGATTTTCTAAATGAAAAATATAATTATTTTTAATAAATATGATAAAAAAAATGAATAAATTTCAACTATTGAAAGTGAAAAAATGAGTTGTTAAAATTTTATATAAGTATAATATATAGTCTTGTATGTAAATGAGTCCCCACTCTTACTAGTTTCTGGAAAAAAAAAAATGCAGTACAAAGCTTTCTCTGATGTATTCTTTTCTTGTACAGGTGATTGCTTACATTGGAGGTTCTCTTTTTCTCATATTTGCTGCTGTGACTCTGATTGAAATAGTGAACTAGAAAATCCATGTGTGTTCTTCGAGATTGAATTAAACCTGTGAACCCATTATGAGAAGAACCTTGATTTCCAAATCAAATCAAGAGTGGATGCAATTTGATGTTTATGTGTTTTTACAATATTAATCATCATCTGAGTCAAATCTAGAGTTGAAACATGAGTGGATGATTGTATGCTACTTGATTTTCCTCTTCTCCTGGGATTTGTCATATTTGGTTTGTGTGCTAGAAAATATGTTTTAAATTTTTGGCCTTTCTTTGTGAGGCAACAATCCATCCACATACAAGGGTGGAGATAAAGAGGCAGCCAAAATCTGGCAGATGTGGCCTCTCCTTGTCCATCCATCAAGCCTTTTTACAAAGAATCCAAAAGTCAAGAACACACCACACCCCCCGCCCCCCACCCCAAAAAAAATAAAATAAAAGAAAGAAAAACAAGAAGATTGATTGTGGGAAAGATGGAATGTACGGATTGGGCAAACCCCACTGCTTCCACTCTCTTCCTTTTCTTGTTAACAATGTAAAAACTCGTATTATATTAATATTAAACTATCTAATCAAGAGTTTTAATTACTTAATAAATGCATTATTAGCACCCAAATATGTCATGACTTGTAATGTATTCGACTAATGACAATGAAATGTCACTGTTTTTCACGTTGGTTGCGTCGGAAACGTGCATGTCTCCAACCAAAACCGGCATGGAACAACCCATTCTTTGTGGAAGTGATGCTTAATCTTCCATGCTATTGTAAATTGTGATTAGTCCATTTTTTTTATAGGGGTTATTTACATAACTTTACACTTCAATATTAAGGCAAAAAAAAAAAAAAATACTAACAAACTAATAGTCTGAGTGGAAGGAGTTCGATTTTCCTTACACAAAATTTTGAGTTTGAGTCTTGTAAATGAAGAAACAGGCGCTAAAAGGGCTTTTCCTTTAATGGAGTCTAACGTGATTCAATTTTGAATTAAGCAAAACCCAATATGATTACTGATACTGGGAGATTAATCAAAAAAATGTAAAAATTAGGTGAAAATGACATTTATTTTTTCTTACATAATTCTCAATCAGTAAACCATTTTTGTCACATTTTTAAAAGTAAAAAATTCCTCAACTTTCCTATTAAAATTCATTTAATAACTTTCCTACTTTTCCAATCCATTTTTTCTCACTAAAAACTTCCTCAATAAAATTAGCCTTTAACTAAATAGGGTTTACTAGTCTTGGTTGAATTAATGGTAATATAAACAAAAATTGAAGAGAAAATATTACCTTAAAGTGTCGCTAATGTTAATCTAGTGTAGTAGTAGTATGAAGAATTGACCCTAAAAATATCAATTTTCCGAGAATAGTTGAGATTATTATTGGCATGGTCTGTTAGGCGTGAAAAGGAAAAAAGGGGGTTTGAGTGGAAAAAACAAAATCTTGGGGGACCTTTTTCTCAGCAGATGCTCTTAGTCTTTGGGCCGACAACGAGGCGAGGTGAGCTCAGTTCGATTTTGACACGGACAACAATAGTGCAATCTCCGCCGCACGCGATACCGAATATTTAGGGGCATATTCTTAATCTTACATAATTCCATTTCGTGGAAACCATGTTGTCCTTTTTTTTTTT